AAAAAGTGTTTGCCCCCTTCCTGATTTCTTATTTTTTTGCATGTTTGTCACACTTAAATGTTTCAGATCATCAAACAAATTTAAATATTAGACAAAGATAACACAAGTAAACACAAAATGCAGTTTTTAAATGAAGGTTTTTATTATTAAGGGGGTAAAAAAATCCAAACCTACATGGCCCTGTGTGAAAAAGTGATTGCCCCCTAAACCTAATAACTGGTTGGGCCACCCTTAGCAGCAACAACTGCAATCAAGCGTTTGCGATAACTGGCAATGAGTCTTTTACAGCGCTGTAGAGGAATTTTGGCCCACTCATCTTTGCAGAATTGTTGTAATTCAGCCACATTGGAGGGTTTTTGAGCATGAACCGCCTTTTTAAGGTCATGCCACAGCATTTCAATCGGATTCAGGTCGGGACTTTGACTAGGCCACTCCAAAGTCTTCATTTTGTTTTTCTTAAGCCATTCAGAGGTGGACTTGCTGGTGTGTTTTGGATCATTGTCCTGCTGCAGAACCCAAGTGCGCTTCAGCTTGAGGTCACGAACAGATGGCCGGACATTCTCCTTCAGGATTTTTTGGTAGACAGCAGAATTCATGGTTCCATTTACCACAGCAAGTCTTCCAGGTCCTGAAGCAGCAAAACAGCCCCAGACCATCACACTACCACCACCATATTTTACTGTTGGTATGATGTTCCTTTTCTGAAATGCCGTGTTACTTTCACGCCAGATGTAATGGGACATACACCTTCCAAAAAGTTCAACTTTTGTCTCGTCAGTCCAGAGTATTTTCCCAAAAGTCTTGGGGATCATCAAGATGTTTTCTGGCAAAACTGAGACGAGCCTTTATGTTCTTTTTGCTCAGCAGTGGTTTTGGTCTTGGAACTCTGCCATGCAGGCCATTTTTGCCCAGTCTCTTTCTTATGGTGGAGTCATGAACACTGACCTTAATTGAGGCAAGTGAGGCCTGCAGTTCTTTGGATGTTGTTCTGGGGTCTTTTGTGACCTCTTGGATGAGTCGTCGCTGCGCTCTTGGGGTAATTTTGGTCGGCCGGCCACTCCTGGGAAGGTTCACCACTGTTCCGTGTTTTCGCCATTTGTGGATAATGGCTCTCACTGTGGTTCGCTGGAGTCCCAAAGCTTTAGAAATGGCTTTGTAACCTTTTCCAGACTGATAGATCTCAATTACTTTGTTTCTCATTTGTTCCTGAATTTCTTTGGATCGCAGCATGATGTCTAGCTTTTGAGGATCTTTTGGTCTACCTCACTTTGTCAGGCAGGTCCTATTTAAGTGATTTCTTGATTGAGAACAGGTGTGGCAGTAATCAGGCCTGGGTGTGGCAAGAGAAATTGAACTCAGCTTTCCAAAGATGTGATAAACCACAGTTAATTTATGTTTTAACAGGGGGGGGCAATCACTTTTTCACACAGGGCCATGTAGGTTTGGATTTTTTTTCCCCTTAATAATAAAAACCTTCATTTAAAAACTGCATTTTGTGTTTACTTGTGTTATCTTTGTCTAATATTTAAATTTGTTTGATGATCTGAAACATTTAAGTGTGGCAAACATGCAAAAAAATAAGAAATCAGGAAGGGGGCAAACACTTTTTCACACAAGTGTGTGTGTATTTATGTATGTATGTATATCTATCTATCTATAAAAAGCATGTTGAGAACATGACGGCAACATGACATTTGTGTTAATGTGAGGAAGGCTTCATCCTCCTCATCCTCCTCACACGTCTCATGTTTTCAGCTCTTCATGTTTCGCATCATTTAAGTCTCTTTTATACTTCTTATACTAATATTTCCTCTCTTGGCATCATGGGAGTTTTTGATTCCCCAGAAAGCTGCATTAGTGGATGTTTTCAGAGCAGCTGTCCTCTGACTCAGAGCGGAGACGATGAGAATTCGTCGTTTAACTTAACCCTTTATGTATTTAGTATTCAAATGTGTTTGTTTGTATTCTGTATATTTAGTTTGTGCCACAGAGAGAAGTGACTTCACTTCACTTCAGAACACAAATCAAAGAAATCTCATTCAACACGTTATTATTCATGGTTCAGAGGTTTGAACTGTTTGATGACAAATAGACAATTTAATTTGTACGCTTGCAATAAATTCTCGTTAGTTTATTGTGTAATCTAGAACGTCTTAAGATATAGATATAAATTAACTTATAGAGAGAATACATGTTTTAAATAGAGCTTTAATTTCAAGGACATATTTTTTTCCTATGATTTGAAATTAAAGATCATTACTCAAAATATACTCGTATCTTTTCTTCTGACTCCCAAAACAAGATCACAATTAAGATGTTTGTGTTATATAAATGCACATGTAATCAGCACAACGACCACCTCCAACTTCCACTTGTTTATTTCAACAAATCAGATTATAAATGGTTTTTAGAAGCATCGCTTCCTTTCAGATGTTTTTCAAAATAAAAGCCCAGTCTGTGAAAAAAAAATACAAGACAATATTTGTTGTCACTCATGACACTTTAGGCAATCATTGAAATGCTCGTTCTGTGCTAATTGGGAGTTAGCATGCTGTAGGCTGAGACTGCGATAATAAAAGCGTGCTGATGCTAACAGTTGATCGTACACAAGCGTCTACGCACACTAGCGTCGCAGGATGTCGGTGAGAAAGCAGAAGTAACCTACTGAAGGCAAAGTATATAATATATAAGGATAAAGAATATAAAAACTAATATGATTATTAAAATATACCTTTAAGTCATACAGTGATAGTTCTTCTAGATTGTCCACAAACCAAAGTTACACAATAATCTTTGGCTAAACACTACTAACGAGTTAGTATCAAACTTCATGTTGTCTCTCTTGCATGACCACACACTCACACACACTCTCACACTCACACACAGTTTAGAAAAAGAAACCCTTAAATATATTCATTTGACGAGTCCAACTTCATGACACTAAAACTGTCTTCAGGATTTTCATTTCCTCTGAACCTCCACAGAATATGAAAATAAATGAATATTTTCTCATCTTTAACAAAATTGCATTGAACAGTTTCATTGTTTAACTTATTATTACATCATAACATTTAACCCTGATTAGCAAGTCACAGATTAATCCGACCACCCATATTGGTTTATAGCGTGTATGTGACAAGACGACACAGATATTGATGATTTGTCTCCTAATCGCACTACAACAGTAAAGACGGACCTCTCAGGTGATTCAAAAGAATCTGATGTGATATTTTGGAAAAGAGAAACTACCTGAATTTGACTAAAAGTGAAGATGAAGTTCTATTGTTTGGTTGGATTTGCTGCTGATGTCTCATTTTGTAACTAAACACAACAAAGTGATCTGTGCCGAGTATCGTTCATATTCCGTGTACTCACTATTCACAAACGTATATAAATACATTAAGACCACTTGAATTACAATTTACTGAAAGATTATTATGGATTTTAATATCTAATGACGCCCCAAAATAAAATGCCTATCCTAGCTTTAAATAAGAAACTACAGCCAGCAGGTGGTCAGCTTAGCTTAGCATGAAGCTCTGTCTAAAGGTAACTAATATCGGCCCACCAGCTTCTCTAAAGCTCAATAATTAACACACTATATGTTGTTAGTTAAAGTTTTACCTGATGGACGATTATTTTGATCTGCTCTAGCCAGGCTAGCTTTCAGTTATGCTAAGCTAACCGTCTGTTGGGTGGAACTTCACATAGACCCCTGTTCTGTTAGTAAACATGATGACATTTTTGTTGGCAAAGCGTAGGTGGAGGCAGAAATATTCTCTGAACATTTTAGTTAACGTTGGCTAGCAAGAGAGGACAGCTTGGTAGCTAACTAGCTATCTTGTCCATCTACAAAACTGGCTAGTTAGCTCGCTAGCTAGTCTCCAAAGAAGTAACCTCCTAGCGAAGAGGAATGAGGCAGAGGGACCGTTTGACCCAGCAGCCACCAACCTGCTGTTGGGCATTTTCTGTAACCAGTGTAGCATTAAGGCATGGTGGAATTAGTAAGCTAGCTAAGTAGCCAACTGTCCGCTACTTAGTTGTTGTTGTTTTTTATCCCACCATGCTTTCAAGCTACACTGGCTGCACAACTAAGACTCAACAGCGGGCCATCTCTTCATCTCACTAATAGTTTATCCTGGAGGAGGTTAGCAGAAGACTAAGCTAAACTATTATCAACATTATCTCTCCATCTGTGAAACAGTTCCGCGATATTGTAGCTCTCTAGAGTCTAGAATCACGAGTTCTTCAGCTTAAAAGTATATGCAATATCAATTCTGGCACCCAACAACACATCCAGATGCCATTTTGGATGTGTAACTTTAGCCCACAACCCTGAGGTGATTCCCGTTTGCCTCCATTCTTTTCTTTGTCCTTTGCCTCCAGCCAACATCGTGATGTAATCATGATGTCAATTGTGTTAATAATTAACTATTTAATGTTTATTCCTTTAAAGATTCCTCTTCAGACCTCTATAATCACTAAATATATCAGAATATTTTCAACCAAATAGAAGTCTTTAGAAATATAAACCCGGTTGCACACAGTGCTTCATGGAGCCCTCTCTATCGCGTCTCATTTATTTACACTACAAGTCTGTGTGAGATTGAAATTGTAAACCACCCAGGAGAGAGCGGTGAATGCGGAGACTTAAAAAAGAACATCGTCGTGGTGAAACGGCGTCTTAGAGGATTTAGAGGCTGTTTGATCAGAAAGGTGCCGGCATAACAAGCTTTAACTTCAGACAGTCGAGCTTGGACATTTAATGGCACGGAGACGGAAACAAAGGCAGTAAAACCAGAAAGATGGAGACACTTTTCCCACAAGGCAACACAAACCGATTGTGTGATATGTGAGACCCAGTCATTGGCAGTCTGGTGTGTGAAGAGTCTGACCAGTACTCCCAGTGAGTCTGTTAACTGCTGCAGTGTGAAGCTCACGCAGCTCTTTAGTGTCCCGTTACAAACCTGCAGAAACTCAAGCGTTCAGATCGGAGGTTCTTGTCATAGTGTTGGTTTTTAACTCAGTTCAGATTCAATCAGTTTCTCCAGAGTTGATGACATCGCCGCACATTTCTGCTGATTTCAACCTTTTTTTTGTGCTGAGCTTGTTGGTGATTTTTCCTCCTGATCCCTAGTTTGTAGTTTTGGCCACGTCGTTATAATTATGAGATCCAGATTCACTTAGAATGCAATGAGCGTCCAATTTAACCGTATTTTTACGGTAATTTCATCATCAGCTCTTGTCTGAGACCATCTATTTATATATTTTTATTTTAACATTTTATTTAACATGTTACAATGCAATGTGAAGAGGGCAATAAACATTAGTATTGTCAAACCCAGTGAAGGTTAACACCAACACTGCATCTCTACACATCTTTTAGCATCTTTTAGCTTTTGTTTCTCCAGCTACACATTGACTGTATGGTTGATTCCATCAGGCTCTCACCAAACTGCCCAAATAAATGTAAATTGCAGCAGCAGTTTTTAACAAACAAGCTCTTTTATCTAAATCAGATTGTGGGTCAGAATAGCTAGAAAATTATGCTGGCTCTGGATGCAGTAGTACATCCTGGTATTTTTGGCATTACGCATGTTACGTACTATAGAGAGGCAAAGTCAGGACCTGTCCGCTGTCCTCCATGGGACCTTATTTCGGAAAAAAATATGTACGGTAGTCAGCGGCGAGACACAAACATTATTATGATCCCGTTTGAATTGTGCCATGAATTACACATACTGTATGATGTTTGTCAATTTAAAAGATAATTTTGCAAGTCCAGAAAGTTTGTCTTCGTCACCGCTCAGTGAACTACGTCTCCGGTCTCACACGGTATACGTCACCAACACGGCCGTTACTTTTCTAGCTAGCTAGCTAACTTAGCTATACCTGATGTGTGTCATCCAGCGACTCTTTTTATCAGCCAGGAAGAGAAAGAACGAGTGAGACCTCGTTGTTGTTGGTGTGAAAACATCCTGGTACGAAATACACAGGCATCGTAGCTTCAGAGACACTTACAAAACCTTTTGGGTGTGTTGTTTTTCTAATTACGTATTTTCAATGTCTTATACTTCCAACAGTATTACGACAAAATGCACCTTATTGACGTGCAAAATGATCTTTCAAAGTGACATACATAGGTGTAACTATGGCAAAATGCAGGTTTCCTGCCATCGACTACTGTACACATTCCTTTCCAAAATAAGGTCCCATAGGGGACACTGGAAGGGGAGGGACTTCGCCTCTCTATTGAGACATACTACATCTCTTTCTGGAATTCTAAATAACATGTTAGTATGGAAGCTGGTCTCTCTTGAAAAAGAGATCTAGATCTTAATGAGTCTGCCTCATTACAGTAAGTAATTACAGCTAACTAGCAAGCAAGTTTGCTGGCGAACACCTCAACTTTTGACCAAATAAACCTCATTTTCTGACACTCTCTCTTAAAGGATTGACAGTAAACATGATATCTTTATGAATATCTGACATTATTTACCACTCAGACAGTAGTAACCGATAGCAGAGGGCTGGGACATAGCTGACTGTCGCTCTCCACTCGTGTCCCATGAGTCAGCAGCTCCTCCACAGTCGTCCAATCATCAAGCAGCTTGCTGTTCCTCAGTCGGTTCTGCTTCATGTGGCTCAGCTCCAGCACCGTCTGAGACAACATGGACCCCTGAAGTCCTCTGGCCTGCTCCTCCCCTCCTCCTCCTCCTCTCCTCTCCCTGTGTTGCCGCGACAACGCCAGGTGGCGCCTCCTTTCGGTCCGGTTCCAGTATCGCCCCGCCCACGGGCCGTCCTCTCCTGTCTCCTCGCCATCTCTCTCCCCGCCTCCTCGCACCTCCTCATCCGTCGTGACCTCGCTGCGTTCCCTGGCCAACCGGTAGGCTCGTGCTCTGAGCAGTTGGTTCCTGACTGACTTCTGATTCGACAGTCTGGAGCGGGGAGACGGCGGAGAGTGGGGGTTGTGTTGTGGGGCCCCCAGCGTGCCGTAACAAGGAACCGGGGAACCTTTAGGGATGCGGGGGCGATTCCCGAGAGTCTGAAAGCCACGCCAGTCCGACGCTCCGCTGGAGCCAGATCCAGGACTCTTAGAGAGGGTGTCCTCCTCTCGGCTCCGGCTAACGCCCTGGCTGTTTCTCAGTGCATTCTGGTGATTGGTCAGACTGGTTATGTCTATGCCGAGGTGACTGGTAGGTTGATAGTTACTGGGATAACTGGCCCTGCTCCTCGGCCCCAGCGTGTTGCTGGGTTTTCCTGGTTGGCTGTCTTGGAGGCTGTTTGGGTCGCCCATGTTGGGGTGACTGGCCCGGCGGGGGCGCTGGCCTTCGCTCAAATCTGTTAATGTCCGACTCCGGCCCGGAGCCTCGATCATGCCGCCTCCACTCTGCTGCTGTTGCTCCAACCACAGCGCCCTCCGCTGGCAGGGCTCAGTATGACAACCTGCAGAACAGAAAGTCACCAGGTTACATGACATCTCGATATATAAACCACCATTTAGCCGTTTTCCTTACACCGTGGGAGTGTTTCAACAAGGGAGCTGTGGGTCCTTGGTGTTAAGACCACAAAGACTTTGATGCTTCACACAACTGCCTAAAGGGTTAATGGGATTTATTGTTATGTTCTCACTCCAATAAATACTTCATTCATCTTCATCCTAAAGGTGAATTATATATCACGGGATCGTGGCGTCCAGTTTGTGATCTCACCTGAATTTTTCCTTAAACCTCTCATTGGTGGTTGTTGCACTATAATGCTCTGGTCACAACAAATGGGAAGCAAAATTTCAGTATTGCGTTAGTCACGCTGGTTTGACTGCCGGATCGTCAAGGGGGGGTGGCTTACCTCTGTGTAGATACCAACAACGTTTCATCAACTATGGACGGAATTTTACAGATTTGTAAAAGTAAAAGGTCTGGCCACAAGACGACAAGCAAACAACTTTTAAAATGCTTGTTTTCTGAATGGAGGTTGGATCGATTTGTGCTAGGCTATGCTAACAATGTAGCAGCTCCATCCACCCTTATTGTTGACGTTGACGTCCGTCACTGTACAAATATGAGGTCAAGCTCTGGATAGTTTTTTTCCACTATTTCTGATTTAACAAAGTCAGGATGTCGGCGACGACAGGAGGACAATCTCAACGCTGATAGGCTTTCGTAACACAGTCATGTGAAACTCTTGCTCAAGTTGAAATACGAATGCCGTCATCTAATTGCGCTGCGCGAAAAGTTTGCTTCCTTTTTGCTGTTAACACGTCATTACAGTGACCAATGTTTCTTAATCCCTTGAAGTCACATAATCACCACGAGTGCATCAGCCTGGTTTTGTAAGAAGTCGATTACCAAACTTGTGATATAGCCAAACACCTCACGTATTTTGAGGTGCACTCCCACTTCACTACTTCACACTATTCACACTACCTCTCCTTGGCTTTTTCTGTACTGTCATGTCAGATAATGGGCAGCGACAAGCCTGCATAACTGCTCTCGTTGCTGACCAGACAGAGATCTTTCAAACAACAGACTTGTACAGACACAAAAATATTGAAATTTTTGGCTCAAACATCCCTGAAATTCCTGATCCATTTTCAGGACTGTTTTGGATAAATAATCACATCTCTCTGATTTTCTTGTCTTCAGAATCAGTAGGATATGTCATTAGATTAGTAGCAAAAGAGAATGATTTGAAGAGCTTTACTCACCAATGGAAGGGGAAGGCGGCGAGCGGTGGCGAGGTAACGTGGGACTCCTCTCAGCTCTGTGGAAGTGAACCGTTGTGGTCGTGCTGTTACCCACAGTGCAGCGGGAGGCCTGTGGCGCCCCGGAGTGAGTCATCGGCGTCGTCTCGGGGATGGACTCCAGATCCCAGCGTCCTCTCTGCTCTCGAGGGGAGTGGCCTGAGCGGAGATTCTGAGTCTGACGGTGGGCGTGGCTCCCATGAATCTTGTGTAGTCGCCGGTGCTCCCCGGTGCTGACGCTGTGGAACCCGGAGTCGCTGGGTTCAGAGGAGATTAGGGACTCGGAGGAAGAGGAAGAGCCTTGGGAGGAAGGGGTGTGGCCCGGCAGCGACGACATGGCGTCTGTCTCGGCCTCAGAGAGTGCCATCTGGTGGTGGGGGCTGTCAGGGCCACATCCCAGCCCGCTGTCGAGCTCACTGAGGGGAAGGTATCCAAGAAAACGATCAGACTGCCAAGGAGGACGATAGTTGGACTACAGAGAAAGTAAGAGAACATTTTAATTGAATTTATTCAAAGTACAAAAGTTGCACCAAACCAGCGTTATTGCTTTCAAAAACTGTATTGTTATAGAGGCTGCGTAAGAGAGAAAGAAGTACAAAAAGGGAATGACTGAATAGCAAAAAGATGAAGGAAGTAAAACAGTAGTGATGCAAATCAACGAAAATGATCTACCTGTCTGGGGAAATTCTTCGGCTCCATCTCTTCAGTGTTGTAGCAGCCAATCAGACAGCTCTCTGAGTTTGGCTGGTAGGGCAACATTTCTTGGCCCTGGAATAGAAAAACTTTATCAGAATAGATGTAAGTCACCCACAAACATAAATTCAGAATAGAATAAATCACCTGGTAGTCCAGTCTGTCCAGGTGATCTAAGCTGTAAGAGACGCTGGGCAGGTAGCTGTTACCCGGGTGCTGGTCGTTGGATGATCTGGGCAGGTAGCCATTGGGTGAATAGACGTTGGGCGACATCATCATGTGACTATTGGTGGAGTACAGGTCAGGTGACATGGTCATGTGACCATAGTAAGGCCTGTGAAGAGGAAGCATTCGGTCATGTTTTATAAGTCAAAGAGAATTTACAAGGGAGAGAGTACGTAGGTCTATTTATTGTTCAAATGTGCATGAATGGAAATGGCAGGATCCTTGGTATGTAAATTAATCTATGAATATTCACAAGTCTTCATCCACATGTATAATAATAGCATGCATTGCACTGACAGCTGTCTCAGCAGAACAACCTTCCACTCCTGAATATTTATGAGAGCGCCAAGAGACTCGGTCATGCTGACCTTGCAAACCGAACCGTCGAGTACAAAAATTGTGGTCCCTCGATTTGAATCATCGATAGACAGAAGTAGAAGTCTTCTTTTCATACCTTTCACTTCAGTCCGTACACTTTAGACCATTCCCAAACCTTTACGGCAGTCCGAGCCTCTTTTTCGCCCATTCCAAAATTCTTACCCTTATCCCAAAATTCTTCTCTGTTTTCACACTTCGCACACTGGTCCGAAATTCTTTAACCAAATCCAGAACTTTTACTCTAGTTCCAAACGTTCCTTCCATTTCCAAAATATTTCCCTTATCTAACTTTTTACCGAACTGTTAACTGTTTACCCCCAACAACAATCTTTTACTCTAATCCCAAACTTTGAACACAGTCCCAAAGTTTTACATAATTTCCCATTTTGTACTCTTCTCCAAACGATTGACGAGAGAGAAGCTTTTTCCCAGTCCAAACCTTTGCTGTTCTATTTGTTCATCCGATTATTAATTATTCACATAATTTCTGGGAAATTACCCAGGTAGGAGGGTTTAATCCTGATCCCCAAATTGTATCTAATTACCAAATGTCTACCCAGTACCACATATTCAGATTAATTCCTTGATACCAATATTTTCCCTTTTCCCAAACTTTACCCTGGTTAGAACCCACCCATGATTTTTACTCTGTTCTCAGTCTTTGTTTGTTTACATCTTCCTAACTTCTTACCCACAGTCATAACTCTTTATCCCATTTCCCAAAGTGTCACGATATGTCCAAACTTTTACCTATTTTCTACTTTTTTAATGGCTACTCCTTCCTTTTTCCACCAGTTACAGACCTTTACCCAGTTCACAATTCTAACCCTGTCCCAACTGTTGTCTCTAATTCTGATTTCAGAAGAAATATTTCACAGTCCTGCAATTTTACCTGATCCCATCTGTCTACCTTGTACCCTCCATCCCAAGTCTTTATCCCATTCACACAATGTTATCATTTAACCACCTTTCCACTCTGTTGTGCCTCTACCAAATATTTACCCATTTAATAACCTTACCAAGTCCACAACTCTTACTCAAACTGTTACCCCAGTTGGGAACATTTACCCAAAACCCTAAGTCCTGTTCTTTGGTCTCCAACCTGTTTCAAAGCTTCATCTAAGTCTTACTGCTAATTATCTTCAGTAGTGGCATTACTTTTGCTTTCACTTCACATTAAGATACTGAAACTCGTAAAATACCAACACAAATAAGAAAAATCATTGATTGAAACCTCAATTCCATCTTTCAGTTCTTGTCCCAAACTAATCCCAAACTCTTAACGTCACCACCGTGGAGCCTTCCAGCCCACTTTACCCACCCGGCATTGTAGCCGTCTCCCTGGCCTCTCTCTCCCTCCATCAGTCCCATGGCTCTCAGGGCCTCCCAGTGTCTTTCCGTCGGGACGTTGCAGTCAACCGTGCAATGAGACTGCCGCCTCCTGTGGCCACGCCCTCTTCTGGCCTCCACCTGCATAGCGATTGGCTGGCCATACTCGTCCACGTAGTGCACCTCCTCCCGGTGTCGGTGATGAGAAGGTTCATGAGTCTTGGCCTGATGAGGGAACACTACATATCATACACTGTGCACATATTATAGATACACATGCAGCACAGTAGTAGTTTATTTTTTTAAAATACTGCTGCAATTTGGCTCAATTTGTAGAAGAGGAATTGATTTTTATATCTTCTCAAAGATATAGCTTTTAAGAAAAGGTCAGTAGGTTAGCTTAAAGATCTGCGATATTAGATAAATATATCATCCTGCTTCTTCTGTGTAACATTCAAGTATTATCTGTAGTATTGATGAAGGATAAAGGCGGCAAAAATGCACAGTGGAAAAGTGGGTGTTTAGCCTCCAAAGCAAGGTCAGTCAGTGCTTTGGTTTCTAACTTTTTTGGGATGCTTGACTACAATTGTGTTACGTAACTTGGCATATGATTCACTCTCTTCTTTATATAAAAAGATAAAAGATGGAGCCTTTTAGTAGAAGTTGCAGTTCAGGAACGAAACTGCTAAAATCAGAGATTACTTCCTCTCATTCAGGCTGATGGTGTTAATTAGTGGTAACAGCTGCTGTAGCACTACATTCTGCAGACCTTTGACCCTCCATGACTCGTGTGGGATGACTCATGTGCAGTGTTTTAAAATAGCATTTACTTTACATACTCACTAACTTACTGTAGATTGCTCAGTGGGATAGGGCCAACCAGCTCTACAGTGTGAAGCTTTAAACTAAATATAATGCTTCAATCAAGACATTCATTGAAAAGAATAAAAAAGTACATTTACAGAAGTAATGTACTGAAGTACATGTTTGACGTGTTTATACTTTATACTTCTTCGCTACATTCTTGTTACTGGAAGAAAATTTGAAATAAAATAAAATGAAATAATTGCTTATCAAAGTCAGAGGTTACAAGCAATTTAAATTCGATATTTGGCTGAAAAACTATTAATTTAACAATAATAGATGTGAAAGGAGGCAGAATCTCTTATTTTATAACATTAATTTAAGGTCAGACACTAACAGGTAAAAACATAGTTCTGATTTTTATCTATTTTTCTTCTATAACACGTCGTCTTTCAGACTAGAGGAAACAAAACATTTATTTTATTACTTTGTCTGTTTACGTTTGTAGATTTCTCTTAAATTCACCAAAAGTTTCCTTTACATAATGCCTCATTTACATATTTAAACATAACATTTCAGTAAACTTGTAATACAATAAATACTCCTCTTAATGTGAGTGGTGAAGTTTCATGGTGATATCTATGAGTTTATGTTGTGACTCTATTCACCTGTAGTCTTCCTAATGTGAGTGATGAAGTGGTGAAGTTTCATGGTGATATCTATGAGTTCATGTATTCACCTGTAGAGTCTTCTTAATGTGAGTGATGAAGTGGTGAAGTTTCATGGTGATATCTGTGAGTTCATGTATTCACCTGTAGAGTCTTCTTAATGTGAGTGATGAAGTGGTGAAGTTTCATGGTGATATCTGTAAGTTCATGTATTCACCTGTAGAGTCTTCTTAATGTGAGTGATGAAGTGGTGAAGTTTCATGGTGATATCTATGAGTTCATGTTGTGACTCTATTCACCTGTAGAGTCTTCTTAATGTGAGTGATGAAGTGGTGAAGTTTGATGGTGATATCATGAGTTCATGTGTTCACCTGTAGAGTCTTCTTAATGTGAGTGATGGAGTGGTGAAGTTT